AAAGCAAGGGAAAATAGTAGGCAGCCTTTCTCTCTGATCCGGAGGACCCGGCAGAGGCTCAGCAACATGGGTGGGGAGGGCTGGCAGCCGCCCACCTGCGAATGGACGCTGGCTGACCTGCAGAAAGAGGGCGGGGGCAGCCCTTAAGCCAACAGAGGCTGAGCAGGGAGTGCCCCTCGGGCGCTTGCACGGGCACCAAAGGTCGCCCACTGCCCGTCTCTCTCGGGGTCCTGGGGATGCACCAGCCCCTGCCCTGGCAACGGTGAGCAACAGAATGCCATCTCCATGGCAACCAGGCCCGCAGTCCCTGGCCTTCAGGAAGAGGGGCTGCCCCACCCATTATCCCCCCCCCCCGTTGAACCCTGACAAGTCTATTGCAACAATCCTAGCTTGGGCCCCTTGCACGCAGGTCCAACATTTATACATTTGTACATCTGCAAGTAGTCCTCAATTTACGACCACAGCTGAGCCCAAAGGTCTGACAATAAATTGGATTTTGCCCCATTTTATGACCTTCCTTGCCACAGTTGTGAAAAGTGAATCCCTGCAGTTGTTGAGTTGGTAACCTGGTGTGACTTGGTTTGTTGGAAGTCGCGAAAAGGGATCACGTGACACACACACCCCCGGGACACTGGGACCGTCATAAGTACGAGTCAGTTGCCAAGCGTCTGAATTTTGGTCACGTGACCATGGGGAGGCTGGAACGGTCGTTAAGTATGAAAATTGGTCGTAAGTCACTTTTTTTAGTGCTGTTGTAGCCCTGGTCACTAAACGAATGGTTATAAGTTAAGGACTCCCTGTATTTGACGCTCTCTTATATTACATATACAGCATGAAAGGAAAAATGGTTAACAGGTTAAACAGCAGCAAAGTTAAAGTTCAAAGCCCTGTTAGTAGTCTGTTATCGTAGTTTATTCGTAGAAAGTCTACAAGGTTTCTTACTGTATTTATCACAAATCTCCCCAATCGCCCTTATCTCTGAGTCCAGGGTCCAATGCCCTTGTTCGGTTCTTAATCATGAAACATTTCCTTAGGTTTTTAATTGGGAACTTTCCCAATAATGGCACCTTGTTTCCAAAGTTCAAAGGTCTCAGTTGTAAATATCTCTGCAACATCCATTCTTGTGTTTTTTTTAAATTCACTTTTTAATGTTTTTGTCTAGCTTTGCCTCTGTTTAGTTCTTTTTTTCCTTTTGGATTTCGTATTTTAAGCTTTGAATAAAATAAAACTGAACAAGTAAAAAAAGGAACGAGGCCACGCCAAAAGGACCCTCCCACCCACCCACCCACCCCCGCCTGCTGCTCGCTGCCCTTCCCACTTGGGGCGAAGCAGCCCGGCTGCGGTGATGGAAATGGGGTCTGCCTCAAAAGCAGGGGGGGGCACTGCTGGGAGGGCAAGGAAGGACCCAGAGGGGGCTGGATGGGCCTGCAAGCACAGCACGGCAGCAGGACCGTGTGTGGTGTGTGTGTGTGTGTGTGTGTGTGTGTGTGTGTGTGTGTCTCAGGACAGGTTTCAAAGTTGACATTTACAATCCTCTCCCTTATTTTCCCACCGTTTCACTCCCACCCAGGGAAGCTCAGGATGAAAAGAGGAACCACTCCATCTCACTGCCTCTGAGTCACGTCATGCACCAAAACCTGGCTTGCCTAAAGCAACCAAATCGCTTTGAAGATATAACATTATTTTATTTGCATGCAAACAATCAAATCTTACTGCATGCCAGGCATCAGCCAAACACTTGCAGTTTGCTGATCAGCCTTGAGGAAAAAGCAGGACCCCAGACTTTGGCCTGCTGCATTGCAGAGAAGACAACCCCCCCACCCCCAAAAAACCCAAACAGTGTAAATTATGTGTGATTTTGGATTGTTTTTGATAAAGCCACCTTTGACCCCTAGCCCCCCAGGTCAGCTTGCTAGCCACACTATCTCTGGGAAAAGCTGGTGAATAAAAAATGGATTCAACTCCAATTCAGCTTGCTGTGAATATTTTCTCACAGGGGCACTTTAAGCTGTTCACATTTAAAAGGGGAGGGGGGGGAAATCTCATAGGTTTGATGCTGAATGCAACTCATCTTTGCATGCACCACCACAAAATTTTGCTGTTCTTCAAATTTGTAATTTATTTATTTAAGAAAATTTATACGGCCACCCGCTCACTTTCAGTGACTCTGGATGTTTTACAAAATTAAAAACCCAGTATACAAACTAAAAAAAAAAAAAAGGCCACCCATCTCCAGTGGGCAAGTTTGAAAACTGCTCTGCTTGTTAGCAAATTTGAAGACCCAGCTCAGAGCAGACAGTAGTTTTAAGGCAGGGATCTCCAAAGTTAGCAACTTTTAAGAGTTGTGGACTTCAACTCCCAGAATTCCCCAGCCAGCATGGCTGGGAGTTGAAGTCCACAAGTCTTAAAGTGGCCAAGTTTGGAGAACCCTGGTTTAAGGAAACAGAATGCAGGTTGAGAAGCAGGTTTCAGGGCATAATAAACACAATCGGGGTATCCCAGCAGCCATCAGACAAGGCGAGGGACAGCCCAGCCTAATCACCCAGAGATTTAAACCATGGTCAGCTAGCCCATGATCCAGTTGCCACGTCTTTTATCCAGAATATTACCAAAAAAACTGTGGGGGGGGGAGGCTTTCCTCAGACGGTATACACTTAGCAGCTTGCGATGGTCCTTTGACAATTAATGAAGAGAAGGACGAGGGGAGACAGGATAGCAGTACTCCAATATCTCAGGGGCTGCCCCAAAGAAGAGGGAGTCAAGCTATTCCCCAAAGGTCCTGAAGGCAGGACAAGAAGCAACGGATGGAAACTAATCAAGGAGAGAAGCAACCTGGAACTAAGAGAGAAACTTCCTGACAGTGAGAACAATTAGCCAGGGGAACTCCCTGCCTCCAGAAGCGGTGCATGCTCCAACACTGGAAGTTTTTAAGAAGAGACTGGACAGCCATTTGTCCGAAATGGTGTAGGGTTTCCTGCCTGAGCAGGGGGTTGGACTAGATGACCTCCAAGGTCCCTTCCAACTTTTTTATTATTATTATTATTATTATTATTATTATTATTATTATTATTATTATTATTATTGATAATAATAATTCCAGCCCCCAGAGCATCAGGGCCCTCCCGAGTGCTGAACTGGGTCCACTGGAAGATCAAATGAGTAACAGCTAGGAAGACCCCCCAGGTCCTGGACGCCTAGGGAGGCTCTCAACCATCCAGGTGAGGTTGTCCCAAAGATGCTTTTCCGAACAGTAATTGGACTTTGTTTTTTCCGTGAAGACATTTTGCTGCTCCTCCAAGAAGCTTCTTCAGTTCTGACTTGAATGGGGAGGGAGTGGAAAAAGTATTCTCAGAGAGAGTACGAACGACCAGACGACTACAAGGAATAGAAATCCCTTCCATTTCCCACCCTTCAGTCAGAACTGAAGAAGCTTCTCGGATGAGAAAAAATAAAAGTCCAGTTGCCTTTTGAAAAAGCACCTTTGGGACAGGGTCCCAGACTGCCTCTCTCTCTCTCTCTCTCTGGCCCCCAGTGAAGAAGCAGGTGTGGGGAGGGGCAGGAAGAGTGAAGAAAACTCCAGGCCCAGAATTGGAATAAGAGAAGGGCGGGGAGAAGTTAGAATTCCTGCTCCAGACCCAGCCGAAGAAGAAACGCTGCACCAAGTGCAGAAAAATCCTTTTAATCAGGCAGAACTTGAATCTACAAACATTAGAAAAGAGAAATATGTACAAAAAAACCAAGAGTCAAGGTGCTTCAACATTTGTCTTCCTGATGCTGTGGGGAGACCCCACTTGGGGGGGGGCTGCACCAATCAGATCAGCCATCCTGGGAGAAAAAAAACGGGCAGTGCCCAAGGTGGCAACTTTGGGAAAGAGGCTCTCGGCCTTAAGGGCTGCCCCAGAGGTCAAGAATCGCAGCCCTTAAGTTGCCGGCGCCTCCGAGCTGCTCAGGAGCTGGTGCAAACACTGGCGGATTTCATCCGGGCCACGATAGGCCTTCTTGGTGCCCCGGGGCAAATGGCGGCAGGACGAGAGGTTGAGGTAGCTGAGGGCAGGACAGCTGGCAATCAGGGCGCTTGCGTGAATGAAGAAGAAGAAGAGAGGGAACTTCTGTTAGGGCCACTGCAGGGTTACAGCTCTCGAATTACGACCACAACGGAGCCCAAAATTCTGTCGCTAAGCGAGACAGTTGTTAAGCGAGTTTTGCCCCACTTTGCGACCTTTCTTGCCAACGTTGTTAAGTGAATCACTGCAGTTATGAAGTTAGTAACACGGCCGTTAAGTGAATCTGGCTTCCCCCATTGATTTTGCAAAAGGGGGAACGCTGCAACAGTCATAAATATGAGTCAGCTGCCAAGCGTCTGAATTTTGATCACGTGCCCACCGGGATGCTGCGGTGGTTATTAAGGGTGAAAAGCATTTTTTTTTTCAGCGCCGTTCTAACTTCAAACGGTCACTAAACGAACGCTTGCAAGCCGAGGACTATCGTCGCTCTCTCCCACCTGGCAAAATGCCCCCGTGGCAGGGGTGGGCAACGGTGGCCACGTTACGGCATAGCCGGCTTGGGAATTCCGAGAGTTGAAGCCCAGCAGTCGTAAAGGTGCCACCGTTGCCCATCCCTGCTCTACAGCAATTGTGGAGTCCCCTCCTCCCTCGGCTTCTTGGAGACCGCGAGGGCCCCCAAACCTCAGAGGATGCCTCCACCCACTGCCAACTTTCCCACAGCCAAGCCCTGAAGGCCCGAGGCAGCTGGGATTCATGCCAGTTTCTGGAGGGCACGACTGATGTGATGCCAAGGCCCAAGCACATGGGCACTGAACCCTGAGCAGGGGGTCCTTTTCCCAGGACCAAACGCCTTCCTGGATGAAAGGGTCTCCAGATGCCCCAGTGGGTCCCTCTCCTCCCTCATTTCTTGGCACTACAGGTTGAAGCGCGAAGGAAAGACACGGCGGGCACTGCCCGGCTCACCTGACGGTCCCCAGGGCAATCTTGGTCCCCGTGAGGCTGAGGGAACGCAGCACCGGTGCCCCTCCCTCGTCCTCTCCCTGAGTGAAGGCGGCCATGGCCCGCTCCAGGTCCTGCTCGCCGAAGCTCTGGCCGGTCAAGTCCAGCTCCCGCAGGCTGTGTCGCCACTTCCAGGTGAGGAGGGGGCTGCCTTCCAGAGGCCGGGACAGGAGGCTGGCGCTGTAGTGCAGGCCCAGGTACAGCTGCTCCAGATCTGCAGCAAAGGCTTCGGGGGTCAGTAGGGACCGGGACGCCCGGAGGAGCCCCTTCCCTCAGGAGACAGGCAGGGGTCTCCAGGGAGTGGGTCTTGGACCCAGAGCTGGTCGCCCCACCCAAACACCGTCCGCTTGAGGAACAAGGAGCCGATAACCGGCAGCATCACCCGATTCACACAAGAACCCAGAAACATTGAATGGCTCCTGATGCGAGAATCTGCCCAAGACTTAAAAATTGCGATTCAGCCTCCTGCACGGGAGCTGCCAGGGCGCTTTTCAATCAATCAATCAATCAGAATAGAGTTGGAAGGGGCTTTGGAGGTCTTCTAGTCCAACCCCCTCCTCAAGCAGGGAACACTATACTATTTCAGACAGGTCTCTTCTTAAAAAACTCCAATGATGAAGCATCCACAACTTCTGGTGGCAAGCTGTTCCACCGGTTAATTGTTCTGTCGGGACATTTCTCCTTAATTCCAGGTTGCTTCTCTCTTTGGTCAGTTGCCACTCATCGCTTCTTGTCCTGCCTTCTGGTGCTTTGGAGAAGAGGTTGACCACCACCCCTTCTTTGGGGCAGCCCCTCCAGTATTGGAAGCCTGCTATCATGCCCTCCCCCTCGTCCTGCCTCTCCCTAGACTAGCCGTACCCAAATCCTGCAACCGTTCTTCGTATGTTTTAGCCTCCAGCCCCGATCCCCTTTCGTATCCCCTGCAGGGGGGGTTGAAAATCTCCCTAATCTCAGGGAGGCGTCCATAAATCTCAAGCCCTCCACCCTCCAAAAAGCCCCAGTTAAAAGTTTGGGGCTGATACCCCAGTTCTTCTTCCTCCCCAGGAACATTAAAGCCCCACCCAGCCACGCAGTGAAGAAGAGGGGAGAGAAAGACCCCATCCCTCGGAGGGGCTTCAGGGATGCCAATCACTGCCACCCATTTGGGGCAGGGGGAGAGCATCAGGCTAGAACCCACGCGCTCCAGTCCTGCCGGGCACGATGCCAGCTGGGCGACCTTTGCTCAGCCCTGCCAGGAGGCGGCTGGGCCAAACCACGCCGGGAAAACCTAGTTTCCATCTGTCGTTTCTTGTCCTGCCTGCATTTGCAGAAAACGGTTAACGATGGAGGCGGCTTTCTCACCCCCAGTTCCCCCAAAGTGTGGGGCTTGGGGCTAAGGGGCAGGGCTAACTGGCGGCCCAGGAACAGGGGAGGGGGACACCACTTTTCTGCACCCACCTGGGCAGGTCAGCTGCTCCAGCCCCTTGGGCGTCACTCGGACGCAGCCGCGCAGGTCGAGGACCCGGAGCCGGCTGGAGGTGCTCAGAATCCGCCACAGCATGTGGTTGTCCACGAAGGAGAAGGCCGTGGTGGCCAGGCACAGCTCCTCCAGCTGCGGGAAGCCCGGGGACGGGGGGGACGAGGCGGGGAGGGGCTTGGGGTAGTAGGTGACGTTGAGCAGTCGCAGCACCTGCGGGCAGGAGGAGTGGACAGACACCAGGACAGAGTGGCTAAAGAGAGGCCACAGAACGCCCACCAGGCCCTGCCTCTCCTAAGCCAGCTCCCTCCCTGAACCCCCCCGGGCTCCTCTGGAGGAGCCAACTCCTCCCCCCAGCAGCCAGGAAGTCAAGTTCTGACTTGGGGAGGGAGCAAGAGAGACCCCCACGCACCTGCAGCTGTGGGCAGGCAGCCTGGAGCTGTTCAATGGGCAGCTGGAAATGCTGGGTGCTTTGCTTGATTTCGGCATTCACCTCCAGCAGGCGCAGGTCCGGGCAGCAGCCACCCTGGGGGGGGGGGGGGACACCAGAGACAGATGAGCAGGCTGGGTCAGCTCCAGAAAGCCCCACCCAGCCAGGAGAACCTCCCTGGAGGGCTGTGCCCAACCCAGGCCAGCAATCCCTGGCTGCTCCTAGCCTGGCCTCTTTGTGTGCTGCCAGGCGCAGAAAACTAGAACTTCCGCTAAAGAAGTTGCTCTCTTGATGAACACTGCAGTGCCGGAATCTACCCAGGTTGTCTGCCTCCCCTTGGAAGGGACAGGTGTCCCCTCAACATCTGGACCCCAAGCGCTTCCTCTCACGCAGGGGGTCCTAAGCCGGAATGTCTCCTAACCACCCCCATCAGCACCTCCCCCCCTTCAGCCGGTGGTTCCGCCCTACGACAGGCAGTCCTCGACAAACGGCCACAACCGAGCCCAAAATTTCTGCTGCTGAAACAGTTAAGTGAATTTTGTCCCACTTTACGACCTTTCTTGCCACAGTTGTTAAGCGAACCACTGCAGTTGTGCAGTTAGTCACACGGTCGTTAAATCAATCCGGTTTCCCCCATTGACTTTGCTGCTTAGAAGGTCGCAAAAGGGGATCACCTGACACCCCCCCCCCACGGGACACACTGCGACCGTCATTAATACGAGTCAGTCGCCAAGCGTCTGAATTCTGATCACGGGAATGCCGCAATGGTCGCAAGTGTGAAAAAACGTTCATAAGTCGCTTTTTTCGGTGCCGTTGTAACTTCAAACGGCCAGTAAGCAAACCATTGTAAGTCGAGGCCTACGTGTAAAGCCCCAAATGGCAAGCTAAACCTGGCCGGGGGCCGATGCTGCTCACGACCAGGCAGCTGACTTGAGCAGCGGCCGTTCCCTCCCGGGACCCCCAAGAGGCTGGGCTGCCCAGGGGTCACCTGGGGGGTCCCACAGCGCAGATGGGGGCAGCTTCCTTGAGGACGGGGCCTTCGTGACCCTGGCTAACATGCCTCTAATAACAACCGCCAATATCCGTGTTTAGAGCAAAACCGTGGCTGGCTGGGGACAGTTGCATTCTTGGCCGGCCTGGCAGACCATCATTGCCAGGCCGGCCCCCCCGGAGGGAGGGGCTCCTCCTGCCAGGGCATCGGGGCCGGGCTTCGCGGGTGGCCCAGTCTGCTTACCACCAGGAGAGCAATGATGGCACTCATGCGGCTGCTGTACGTCAGGAAGAGCTGCTGCATCCGGGCACCGGCCGTTTCCAGAAAGCCGGTGACAGCCCAGGGGTCGACCTAGAGATGCGGAAAACGGCCCAGGAACTGCTGGTGGGCCCCTCCGTCCTCCAGAGGAGCCCCCCTCCCCCGAGGCTGGGGCTGGAAGGCCCCGGGGACCCCCCTCACCCGGCCAAGGCTCACCTGGGACCCCTGCAGGTTCAGGCTCACCAGCCGCGGGCAGGACGTGGCCAGCAGGCAGAGGGGCTCGGCGGTGACCCCGCTGCAGTGGCCCAGGCGCAGTGTGGCCAGGAGCGGGCAGGAGGCGGCCAGAGCCTGCAGAGAGAGGACGGGAGGGGGGTTTAGCTCCCTCGACCCCCTCGCGGGCGGAGGGCAGGGACGGGTCCCCGGCCGGCCCGACTCACCTGCAGCACCGGCGGGACGAGGCTCTTCCAGTGGCTGAGCGAGAAGTCGCGCAGGAGGGAGAACCTGCGGGGCACAGAAGGTCCTCGGTTCGGGTCCAGGGCGGACCTGGGGGGGTGGGGGCGTCCCCCTGCTTACCTGTGGGTCGCCAGCCACTCCAGGGTGCCCAGCGCCCTCTTCTGCTGCGCCGGCGCCCACTTCTGCCCCGGGGCCGCCCAGCAGTGCCCCACCGCCACCGTCTGCCACAGGACCGGCGCGGCCGCCGCTCGGGACCAGAAGCGACACACGCAGGCCGCCCTGCGGAGAGACGCGCGGCCGGTCAGGCGGGCCGGGGGGTCCGCGAGACGAGGCCAGCCCCGCCGCCCGCCGCCCGCCGCCC